CACCCCCTGGCTCCACCCCCTGGCTCCACCCCTGGCTCCACCCCCTGGCTCCACCCCCTGGCTCCACCCCTGGCTCCACCCCCTGGCTCCACCCTTGACAATATCTGATGATCGACTCTTTTAAATGAAACCAGAGAGCGTTGACAGAGAGGAGAAGGTAGAAATGACTCAGCCTGGAACTGAAAATATGGATGGAGGACCTCAGTTTAGCTTGTTAGTGTCAATGCTAGGACGTATCCGAGGACCTATCCACGTCATCATTTACCCAGAATGCTTTGTGTGGAAATAAAATGGCTTTGTCCAATTTAAAATATATTTCAAAAAATTTACAAAACTGATTATCCTACAGTATTTTTACAGTCTTTATTTTACAGTTAAAATAAATGTTTACCAAATAAAGTCTAATGTTACAACTAATCAGGGATCCCTTTAAGTTTGCTGTCAAGGGAGTGAGAGACATGGTTGTGTGGTTACCATGGTTAACTTTTATTTTACACTTCTTATAAGTTCATGCATCAAATTCTGGCAGTTTTCTCTTGGCTGCATTAATGTTCATCAGAGCTTCTCTGTTTGAACCAGTTGCTGTTCCAGCCAAGAATGTTTACTTGTTTTTTTCACAAACCTGTGTTTTGAAGATCCTCCATCCAAAGAGAACCCTTATGAAGATATTGAGTTGGAGCAAAGTTGTTTGGGAAGTAAATGTGTTTCACCTGCCTCCTCATCACCTGTTCCTGACAAGGTACCAGTTCACCAGTGCATTCTAGATAATCTACGTTTACTAGAACCAGTACGACTTATTGTGTGTGTTTCTGTTTGTGTGTGTGTTTGTGTGTCCGCCCAACAGCTAGCGTCCAAGCCTGGCTTCTTCAGACAGACCTCAGAGCGACGGAGCTTTAAAGGCCCAGAGCTGCGCAAGACTAACCGAGACGCCAGCATCTCGTCCCCCTGCCGGATCAGCCCCCCCTCCACGCCCAGCAGCCCTGACGACACCCCCTGTCTGTCAGGAGACCCTTACAACCGCAGACGGAGGAAGATCCCCAAGGTGTGGAGAGTGTGAGAACGGTTGAGTGAGGAGGACTCTTACAGGATCTGTTGGATTCAGCGAGTCTCTTTGAATAATTCCAGATGGTGCTGAGAATCAACGGTGTGTTTGAGGCTCGCAGAGGAAAGAAACACATGAAGAAGGTCTCTCAGTCTGCTGAGTCCAGCTCAGGGAGAGGTAAGCCCGTCTGTTCAGCTAACCACTCGCACCTCTCAGTTTGTGAAATGTCATCGTGCCAGGTCTGAGCTGCAGGTTAGAAGACCCTCTGTGTTCACTACAGGTGGGTGTGTCGATCTTATGGTGCGTTCACACCGAACGCGATTTCAGCGTCAGGAGCATCAGGTTTACATACAAAGTCTATGGTGGACGCGCTTCAAGCAACGTCGGG